GTGTACCTCCCAGAAAAAATACAATCAATTCAAGTAACTTTCTTTGAAAGTAGCTATACTCTTTAAGCCCCTCTCCCACTAGGGGTTTTTCAGCATAGGAGTTACAAGAGTTTGCCGAGTGGCTAGCTCGGCGAACTCGGCAAAAAAACTCGTAGGGCGATTCGGGAAGCTCGGGGAGAACTCGTACCTACTCGTAGAAGCTCTGAACTCGTGGCGCCAATTTTGAACATGTTCAAAATTAGCTCTACGAGTTGACAACTCGTAGTAAACTCGAAGGACTCGTAGGTAACTCGTGGAGTACTCGGGGTACTCCTACCTAACTCGCCCACTACTCGGGAAACTCGTCGACGGTTTTGTCACCCACGAGTTTGATGCGAGCACCCCGAAATGAGTACGAGTTAAGTACGAGCGCACCGAGTTGGCTACGATCACCAGGAGCATTTGGTAGGACTTGATTTCGTGATACACGTGGCGTGTCAACACAACAACAATATGTCAGCAAAAAGAAGCAGAACTAAGAACATATCAAACAAAATGAAGGAGAGAGGTATACCAGATGCTTCTGACACTGATACGCAACTTGTGGTGGAGGTAGATGTTCATCAGGAAGATACTAGTTACATACAGGAGGACCTGGATGTTCAGGACGAAGAGCACAGTATGAATCAAGACAACGATGAAACTGCCTCGAGCCCTAGGAGCCCTAGCCCTCCGCCTTCAGCTGTAGATACCTCATCAGAGAGGCCTGAAGATTCCAAAAAAAAAAAGAGGGAGCGGGCTTATGCATTCACCGAACAGGAAGAGGCGGCCATCGGGGAATGGTATTGTGACAATAGCTGTTTATATAACAAAAGACACAGGGACTTTAAAAATGCTGACAAAAAGCGCCGTCTTATGGAAGAGAAAGCCAATTCATTTGATCCTCCATGCACTTGTAAGTTTGAAATTTCAACAAACAAAGTGTACGCTTATAATTTTTGGTAGTAGGACAGTATGTTTATAGTACAAAAATAATGTTTTATATATTTACATTATAGGTGAACATAATTGTCTGCGACTAGGTATAGGCATATGACTGATTTAAAGTTCTATACTTGTTTAAAATTTTCTTTTATTAATACTGTATAGGGCCTACTAGTTTATAAACTAGGCCTAAATATATAGGACTGTAGACAAATTAACATGGCTATAAAATAACAGACGGTATAAATAAAACGTTTATTCAATATTTTAGTTGGTAATGCACTCACAAGCTCTTTACATGTAGGTCTAACCGTTAAATATACGTATACATGCATCCATGAAATAACTGTAGGCCTATAATAATGAAAATATGACGCAAATTGTTTACATAATTTTGGGGTTTTTTTCAGACAAGCAGTTGAAAATGTTTTTAGACTCCATGAGGTCCCAGGTGGGCAAGATCACCAAACGAAAGTCTGGCCAAGGGACACAACTGATGTCGGACCGTGATGCATGGGTAGTTCAAACCTTCGGCTTTCTGGAAAAACACATTGTCCGGATCCCAAGCAGGCCTACTGCTAAGGTGTGCTTTAAAATGCAATGCGAAAATAACATACTGTTAATTATTTAGTTTTTACAAATGCACAAAAAATAGTGCCATTTTTTATTTTACTGACATATACGGTAGATAATACGTTTTACAATTGTGCAAAAAAAACTTTTTGACAAAATTAATGTAAAAATAATCATCTGTAATTATTTTTCTATGTCCACACAAAAACAAACAAATAAAATACAAAAAACAATCTGGAATTTTTATTTGGGTTTGCATGTTTAAAAAGATTAACATTTCAAAGTGTAAAATATTTTTGTATTGTCTATAAATACTTTAGCCAAAGAACCAAAAAAGGATGAACTCTAGGTTTCATTGTCATGTAGATATGTTCGCATCTAAGTATTTTAGTCACATGCAATGTTGTATGTCACAATAAGTTGAACTCCTCTGGCAATCTGAGCTGATTTGACAGGAATCATTTCCAAAAACCATTTCGAACTTGTGTCATGAAAACCTGAAAATAAACAAAAGTATTCATAATTAACGAGACATGCCCTCCACTGTCTTGAACAGGGGTGGCGCTAGCGGGGTGGGGGGCGCCAGGGAGAGCTTCCTCTCCCTCCAGTCGGGGAGAAAAAGCACAATTCGTCGGGGAGAAAAAAATATGTATGTATTTTCTACATATTAGTAGACTCTAAAATCGATTAAATAAGCCTTTGAAACCCCTAAATTGCCAAAATTTTGAATGCTAAAATCTATAACTAACGTTACAGTTCCCAGATATTAAGACATCAGATTCCATGGCCATACCCAGTGGTGGTGATGATGACGATGATGAGAAAGAGGAGGAGGAGGATAATCGTCAGGGAGATGCTCCTCATGCCATGGAGACAGTTAGCACAGATTCGATCTCTGATGAAGCTGGGACCAGGGGAAAGGTCAAGAACAAGAGCAGGCCAAAATGCAAGGCTACTAAAACTAAAGAATCTGAGGTGCTCGGCAAGGTGAAAATTGCTTTTTATGTTATGTCGTGATACATTATTATCTAGTGACAAATTGATTTTATTGAATTGCAACTTCTTGCTGTTTATTCATACAATTCTGAAAGAAAATGAATGGACACATGCCTTTGTTTGATAACTTAATATCAGCATAGCATGGTGTATAAATAACTAAACCAAAATTGTTGTTGTTTTGCGTTGCAGTTACTGACCCGTGCCGATGAATTGGCCAA